GTGGGGGGGAGTGAGCAAGTGGCTGCGTGGTGCTTAGTTGCCGACTGAGGTTAAACCACGACACAGAGCGACTTTATAGATTGTCCTTACATCAGTGAAACATTACTAGACACAAGACATACATGCGACAGGCTCTTTCAGAGTAACAAATACTCCAAAGGGGCTTTGTAAGGGGCAGAGACCTGCTGGGCGCTCCTTTTACAGAAGCATTAAATAGTTTTTTGTCAGGACTATAAACTCTTCAGGCAAGAGCGAATTTCTTCATTGTAATTTTTGCAATAAAATAGCACAATGGTACATAGTTTAGGTGCTACTGAACTGTAAGTAGTAACAGGTCACTGAATTTACCTTCACTTGGCTGGAGACAGCTGCCTGTCAGCAACTGAACTGTCATAATGGGTAGTCCACAGAAAAACAATCAAGTTGCTTTTTTCAGACAGGATTCATGATTTCTCCATCAGCTTTGAACATTCATTTGTCCCCCATTTTTATTTCCAACTTGTGTAGACAACAAACCATGGCACATTCTCTACAATATACTCACTGACTTACAATAAATAGTCAGTGTGCCTACTTTATTTCTTTTTCTGGCAAAAATACAATTCTGCTATTATTCAGTGAAAAATAAACTTACAGGCAGCACAAACAGCCTGCTGGTATCCACAAGGTCCCAAAGATTTTGCATGAGGTTCAACTTTTTAATTACAAATCGTATAATAAAGAACATAACTTTATCCAGTGAGGCCCTAGGCCCAGAAAACACATATTGTGTGTGTTCTGCAAATGTGGTTGAGAAAGTCAGCATCATGAAATACGGAAGGAATAAACATGTATTTTTTTTAGCCATATGACATCAACTTATAATTAGCTTGTTTCACTCAAATTAGTGCAGTATATGGGTGCACAGAACAACTTTTCTATAGTAAACAGGCTCAAAAATCTTAAATTAACATAGAACATATTTATATGTAGCTTGAGTTGGGATTGAACATACTGTGCAGCTGTAACCTGAAATTTGAATAAACTGAAACTCCCCTTGATAGGCAAGTAATGGAAGTCCACCTTTAAAATAACTCACAGTTTAAAATAAAGCCAGTACAAGTTGCAGAACTTGCAACAAACACAGCTGGTGTTATTCAGTTACACAAAATAGTACAACTGCTCCCCTTTCAGTCTTAAAGCCATCAAAGGACAATTCTTCACAAAGTTTTTTCCAGTTATATACAAAGGGATGGGCGTTTCTCTTCTGTTCCCAGAATTGTGGGAGCAGTTTTTACACTGAATGTTGGAGAGTTGTAACATCAAGCTGCAGTGTTTCATGGACAAGGCTCATGATGCCTTGTTGTCTTTCCATTGAATTAGGAATATGGTGCTTTTTTGTCTTTTTTGATGCCACAATGAATTTTATTCTCACTAGAGTATAATAAACGTACTGTGCCTGAAGCCCAAAGGGAAGGAAGTAATGCTGATTCTTCTGGCTCCGTTAACCATTCCTGACACTGTATCATTAACTAGCTATTTCTTTCAATCCTAAAAGCTCTCACTGCTCTCTTATGAGGACAAGTTATTACTGTGAAAAGAGGATAATAAAACTAATCAGTAAAACCTGAGTAGAGGTAAAACTCATCAGCACAAGCCCTGCTAATTCTGAAATAAAAGTATAAAGAACACAAAGACAATCTTCAAAACATTATCTCACCTCTACCGCATCACAATGTATGGCTAAATTGAACAGTTCCAGGGAGAGGGCATCCACAACTTCTCTGGGCAACCCGTTCCAGTGTCTCACCA